TAAGCCATCATACTATCGGCCTGCTATCATCTAGGCCGATTATTTGAAGATATAAGGATGTTATTTTTGATTTCGACTAGTATATTCGAGTAATACCAGTTGTGATTTCTGCAAATACACGTTCTTGAACATGTCTTGGCTGGTCAGAGGAAGCATAAAGGCTAGCACATGGAATTCCTATTTGTATTATTTCAATCTTATATATAATAAAGATTTAGATTAAAATATAATATCCTATTTTTTAATAATTAATTAATGCTTACTATTTGATCGTCTATTAAAGCCTTTAAAGGGCTAAAAACTACAGTCAAACCTTTGCTAATTAATGCTGCAGCTATATAACAAAAAGTTTTATTCGCACCAGTTGGCATTAATACTAATGTATTGTTTTTTTGTATAAAAGAAATAACTGCCTCTTTTTGTCCTATACGAAAAGTTTCAAATCCAAAAATATTATATAAAATATAATTTAGTGTTTGATCTAAATTAAAAGATAAATTGTTTTCTAATTTTGTAAGATAATTTTTATCCGGAATTTGGTCTAATAATCTGTTTTTCAAATAAAATTTGCAAACACGACACAATCCTGCTGATCCACATCTTGGAAATGAATGACAACCAAAACACTTAGTTTTTGTATCAAAATCTTTTATAAATTTTGCAAATGTTGGCCAAAATTCCTCTCGAATCATGCTTTTTTGTGCTTTTTTTCCATATGGAATCAACTCTTGAGATAAATTAAAAAGCTGAAGATCATTGCGTTTGGTTTCATATTCAATAGTTCTTTTTTTATTACGGCTTTCAATTTGTTCTCTTTTATGTAATTTTTGGCTATTTCTATCTTTTGCCATCTTTTCAATATTTTTTAAATCTTGTTTAGAAAAACTCTTAGCTCCACAAAAATCATGAACTTGAATTAACATTTGAGTTAAACCATCATTATTGTAAATAATAGCTAAAGCATAACGTGCCTCATATGATTTTCAGTAGTTAAGTAATTTGTTATTAAACATTAATTTAACTCAGTTCATTGCTTCATTATGTGCAGTTCACAATAAAGTAACTAGTGACTGACTTGCTGGTAAACGAAATATTGATTTAAGAAAATTATGAAATTCATCTATTTCTCTTATAGTAGATTTTTTTAAATTCAGTAAAGCTAATTCTAATTCCAGATTGTCTTTATACCAGCATACTTCATTCTAGCATAAAGAATGATTATCTTGCAAATGTTTTAATAATCCTTCAACTTGAAGTTTACATAATTCTTGATCAGTAGAAGTTATTATATCTTCATTTTCTTTACGAAGACTAGCAGCATAAACACATCCATTGAAATATCGCATTATTACTTGTGAAAAATTTTTCTACATTGAATTATTATCTAATTAAAAGAAATAAATTAAATCTTATAAATTAAATATATATCATAATTAAGAACCTCTAACTTAC